TCATCCTAGATCCTTTTCTCAGAGTCCTTCCTGGTCTGTTCTTTGTGGTTATAATGTGAATCAAGGACTATCTAAATCTTAGCTTTGTTAGAAAACTGTCAAAAATGAGAAGTGGATGTCTTCAGACCCAACTCTTGCAAGACCAGTTCTACTTGGATGTTAACCATCTGCTCACATTTCTTAGCAGCTGTTGAATAGGACTGTTGTTTGTGATCTCTTCCCTTGGTAACTTAATATGCACCTGCATGCTTAGTTTTGCTTTTTATTATTTTTTTCACCTGCCACCTAGTGGCTGAAATGTTGCTATGCTATTGATACTACCAATTTTGAGTAAAATGGAACAGAGCGCCTAAAAAGATTATTTAGTCTGTTCTCCCTCCCCCTTCATCCCTTCCTCTGAAAAGATGATCTTTAAAATTCCCCATCCATGTGATTACCAATCTTTATTATTTAAAATAAGTCTTCAATATAATATACTTTGATGATTTATGTTATTAATTAGTCTCAGAGCTTTGATTTAATTGCTTACTTCTGGCTTTTTTTTTTTTTTTAAGATTTATTTATTTATTTGAAAGAGTTACACAGAGAGAGAGAAGGAGAGGCAGAGAGAGAGAGGTCTTCCATCTGCTGGTTCACTCCCCAACTGGTCGCACCAGCGGGAGCTTTGCTTCACCCACTATGCCACAGCACAGGCCCCTGTTAGTACACTATTAAACTAAGAGATACGGCAAGCTACTGCTTACAATGCTGACATCCCTTGGCTGAGCACCAGTTCAAGTTCTGGCTGCTCTGCTTCCAATCTAGCTCCCTGCTAATGTTCCTGGGAAACCATCAGATGGTAATTCAAGTACTTGGGCCCCTGCCACCTATGTGAGAGACCCAGATGAAGTTCTGGGCTCCTGGCTTTGGCTTGGGCCAGTCCTGGCCATTGTGGCCATTTGGGGAGTGAATGAGTCAATGGAAGATCTCTTTTCTCTGCCTCTGCCTCTCTCCCTGTCATTCTGCCTTTCAAATAAATAAAATGAGTCTTTAAAAAAGAGAGAGACAAAAAATAACATCTTCAAAGCTGTAAAATTCTGTAGCAGAATTTTTATTCAGTTTTAATTTGTGTATTTATGTTTTTAGGACTAGTTGATTTTTTTCATAATTTGGTAGTGGTTCAGAATTGATCCTCTGAGTTGAGAGAAAGAGAGTTCCCATGATTTGATTCACTTCCCAGATGCCCAACAAGGCCAAGGCTAGGCTGGACTGGGCCAAAGCCAGGAGCTGTGAACACCCTCCAGGTCACCCACATGGGTGGTAGTGATACTGTCCTGCTTATTAATAATTTTCAATGTTAACAAGCCTGTGGGTTCTTGTCATGTATTCAGAGAAGAATTCTGAATACTGACTCAAATAAACCAGACAAGATGGTAAGTTCTTAAGCTTTTTATTCAGTGAGAGAAATGCACAGGAAAGTGAGAGCTTTATTTAGGGGAGAAAGAGAGATCTAGAAGCTAAGTTGGGTCCATACTAGGCGGAGAGCAGGCTATTCGCCACATGGAGCAAGCATGCAGGCAGGAAAGCAGAGAGTGAGTGTATGGCCCAAAGGCCAGTGCCTGCAGGGCAACAAGGGGAGGGCCTACTGTGTTCCAGGCCTTTTATTTACTCCCCGATGGGAGTGGTTATGTAGTCTGATTGACAGGTGGGCTTACAGGTGGGGTCTGTAGGGGCATGAGATCACAGAGCGGGTAAGACTAAGGCATGGTCTCCTGCTTATAAATCGAATCAATTTTATCCTGTCTGCCTGCCTGCATCAGTAGGAGTGTAGTGATGGATCAAGTAATTGAGTTCCTGCCACCTTCATGGGATGCCTGGGTTGAGTTCCTGGCTGCAGTACAAACCTAGATATTGTGGGCATTTAGAATGAATCAGTATATGGGAACTCTCTCTGTCTCTTTATCTTCTGTCTCTGCCTCTCAAATAATTTTTTTTAAATTTCAAAAGTATTTTGTTGATTACCTTCATTTCTCTGGAAAAGTTTAATTGTATTAAATATCCTCTCCTTGGAGAATGCCAAATAAGTGGAAAGTATATTTTTTTAACTTTTATTTAATAAATATAAATTTCCAAAGTACAACTTCTGGATTATAGCGGCTTTTCCCCCCCATAAATTCCCTCCCACCCGCAACCATCCTATCTCCCACTCCCTCTCCCATCCCATTCACATCAAGATTCATTTTCAATTATCTTTATATACAGAAGATCAATTTAGTATATACTAAGTAAAGATTTCAGCAGTTTGCACCCACACAGAAACACAAAGTATAAAGTACTGTTTGAGTACTAGTTATGCCGTTAATTCACATAGTACAACACATTAAGGACAGACATCCTACATGGGGAATAAGTGCACAGTGATTCCTGTTGTTGATTTAACAATTGACACTCTTATTTATGGCATCAGTAATCACCCAAGGCTCTTGTCATGAGCTGCCAAGGCTATGGAAGCCTCTTGAGTTCGCCAACTCCGATCTTATTTATTTATTTATTTGACAGAGTTAGAGAGACAGACAGAAAGGTCTTCCTTTACCGTTGGTTCACCCCCCAAAATGGCTGCTACAGCCAGTGCGCTGTGGTTGGCGCACCATGCCGATCTGAAGTCAGGAGCCAGGTGCTTACTCCCGGTCTCCCATGCGGGTACAGGGCCCAAGCACTTGGGCCATCCTCCACTGCCTTCCCAGGCCACAGCAGAGAGCTGGACTGGAAGAGGAGCAACTGGGACAGAATCCAGTGGCCCAACCAGGACTAGAACCTGGTGTGCCAGTGCCGCAGGCGGAGGATTAGCCAAGTGAGCTGTGGCGCCGGCCAACTCCGATCTTATTTAGACAAGGCCATAGTCTAAGTGGAAGTTCTCTCCCTTCAGAGGAAGGTACCTCCTTCTTTGATGGCCCATACGGAAAATATATAATTAAATTAACAAAGATTTATTCTGTAAGTTGTTTGGGAAGGCAACTCACTGAATCCTATTTCAAATAATAGTCTTCTCAATATTTTCTAAACATAACAACTGTTGGCTTTGTATCCTGTCATTTTATGCCTTTTTTTCCTCTAAGTTTCGAAGAAGATTGACTTAATTTTGTGGTTTGTGGTTCTTTGCCTCAAGGTGCCGTACGTTTGCATGGTTTTTTGGTTCTTAACAGAAACTTTGAGGACAGTTGTAATATTAATACTTCTGGAGTTTGTTTTTCAAGGAACACCTGTGTTGAGCATGAATTCCCAATAAATTTTCAGGTTGTGCTTATTTGGACTAGGATTGAGAATAGGAATTAAACCATAATATTTTCTTCTTTGATAATAAATACACAAGACTAAAGGAAACTGTAGCTCTTAAATTACAAAAAAGACTGGTGAAGAGTGGTTTGTGCACCATAGGGACCTGTGAGGACAGGTCAACTGATTTATTTATTTTTAACAATTTATTTTATTTGAAAGTCATTGTTACACAGAATCAGAATTACACAGAGAGAGTGTGAGTCGGAGATTTTCTTCTGCTGGTTTACTCCCCAGATTGACTGTTATGGCCGGAGCAGGGCTGATCTGAAACCAGGAGCAAGGAACTTTTTGGGCATCTCCCATGTGGGTGTAGGGGCCTAAGCACTTGGGTCATCTTCTGCTTTCCCAGGCACATTAGCAGAGAACTGGATCAGAAGTGGAGCCAGTGTCTCAGGTGGTGACTTTACCAGCTTTGTCACAGCATTGGCCCCAATTAATTCATTTAAAAATCAGTTTAATAAGCCCATTGCATATTAACATAAAGAGCATTGTTTTTAATTTTTTTTTTTTTTTAATTTGAGAGGCATAGTTACTGACAAGAGAGAGGGAGAGACAGAGAAAGGTCTTCCATCCCCAAGTGGCCATAATGGCTGGAGCTGAGCCGATCCAAAGCCCAGAGCAAGGAGTTTTTTCTGGCTCTCCCACGTGGGTGCAGGGGCCCAAGGACTTGGGCCATCTTCTGCTGCTTTCCTAAGCCATAGCAGAGAGCTGGATTGGAAGTGGAGCAGCCAGGACTTGAACTGGTGCCTCTATGGGATGTGGGCACGGCAGGCGGTGACTTTACTTAATGCACTGCAGCACTGGTCCCAGGATCTATTTTATTATATAGAAGATTAAAGTTACAAATTCAGTGCCTTAAGGGACCTGGAGTCTAAGCAGTACAGATGGTTCCTGACTTAGAATGGTTCAGTTTACTAATTTTACAATTTCACAGTGGTGCAATGGTGATACATATTCAGTTCAAATTGTATTTCAAGTTTTGAATTTTTTTTTGAATTTTTCACGTTGGCAGTATGTACTATGATACTTATGTGGTGCTGGGCAGTGGCAACAAGCCATAGCGCTCAGGCACTAAGATAAGACAGTGACCAACCAATCATCTATAGTGTACTGTGTTGCTGAACTATGAGGTTTGGTAGTTCAGGAGTGTTAAATGCATTTTCAACATAGGATATTTTCAACTTATGAAGGATTTGTTGGTAACTAACCCTATTGTAAGGCTTGTTAGAGAATCATTAGGGAATGATGGGGGCTGATAAACTGGAGAGCGTATTCCACCTGATGGAGGTGAGTATGACTTGGCTCTGATTTTTGCCAAGAGGAAGTAGAAGCACAGTGTTGTTTGTTTTTTTCCATTTCTAAAAAGAACATATAAGTCCAAATAGTTTATGTGAAATTAATAGCTTTCAACCACTGAAACTAATTCAATCTTTAAAAGTCCCATTTGAGTGAAATAATAGGTTAGCTTGTAAATAATAGGTTAGTTTGTAAACTGTTCTGAGAAGTAACTAAGGATTCTTTCAGACTTCAAGCAACCTGAATGATGTAGTAAGAGGAAGGGGGCTTAATCACCCTGGTTTTGCTAATCATGATACTTTTGTTTATCCAACTTCTCTTTTTTGAGCCTATTTAAAGTTAAAATACCCCATTGAGCATTAACTTTTCTTTTTGTAAATTCAAAATAGGAACTAACAACGTCTCAGAAAAGTGGTGGGAATGTTCTTCAGATGATGTATGAAAAACCTGAACGATGGTCTTTCACCTTCCAATCATATGCCTGTCTCAGTCGAATACGAGCTCAGCTTGCTTCTCTCAATGGCAAGCTCAAGGATGCAGAGAACCCTGTATTATTTTTTGAACGATCAGTGTATAGCGACAGGTACGTACAAATAAATGGCTTGCATTTGGCTGTTTAGAGCCTTGTCTTTTATTTTTTTAAAATTTATTTATTTATTTGAAAGGCAGAGAGAGAGGAGAGAGGGAGTGGTCTTCCATCCACTGGTTCATGCCCCAAATGGCTGCAACGGGCAGAGCTGGGTCGATCCAAAGCTGGGAGCCAGGAGCTTCTTCTGGGTCTTCCACTTGGGTACACGGGCCCAAAGACTTGGGCCATCTTCTACTGCCTTCCCAGGCCATAGCAGAGAGCTGGATCAGAAGTGGAGCAGCCAGGTCTTGAACTGGAACCTATTTGAGATGCTGGCACTGCAGACGGTGGCTTTTACCTGCTACACCACAGAGCCGGCCTGTCAACATTCTTTTGACCTCCAAAGTTACCTCAGAGAGAGGCTCTCAAAAGTTGTTGGTCTCATGACCCCTTTCCATATGTATTATTATTCATGAGTCCTCGGGCCTTTCTGATTTATGTTTTTAGAATTTATTGTTATTTAAAATTACTACTAAAAAACCCATTTCATATTAGCACAACTAACATACTTTTGGAGGCAGGCTTTTTTTTTTTTTTTTTTTTTGACAGGCAGAGTGGACAGTGAGAGAGAGAAACAGAGAAAGGTCTTCCTTTGCCGTTGCTTCACCACCCAATGGCCACTGCAGCCGGTGCACCGCGCTGATTTGAAGCCAGGAGCCAGGTGCTTCTCCTGGTCTCCCATGCGGGTGCAGGGCCCAAGGACTAGGGCCATTCTCCACTGTACTCCCGGGCCACAGCAGAGAGAGCTGGACAGGAAGAGGAGCAACCGGGACAGAATCTGGCACACCAACTGGGACTAGAACCCGCCGCAGGCAGAGGATTAGCCTAGTGAGCCGTGGCGCCGGCCTGGAGGCAGGCTTTTGATGCAGTGGTTAAGATCCCACTTTGAGGCCGCTGCCACGGCTCACTTGGCTAATCCACGCCTGCGGTGCTGGCACACTGGGTTCTAGTCCCAGTTGGGGCGCTGGATTCTGTCCCGATTGCTCCTCTTCCAGTCCAGCTCTCTGCTGTGCTCTCTCTCTGCCTGTCAAAAAACAAACAAACAAACATCCCACTTTGAATGCTTACATCCATTATCAGAGTGTCTGGGTTCAAGTATGGCTCTGCTTCTGATTCCAGCTTCCTGCTAATGTGGTACCTGTGAGACAATAGGTGGTGGCTTAATACCTTCAGGGATGTTATCCACGTGGCAGACCTGTAGTGAGATCTGAGCACCTGGCTTTGGCTTAGCCCAACCCCAGCTGTTGTGGCCATTTGAGGGTGAACTACCAGATGCAAGGTCTTTGTTTTTCAGTCTCTGTCTATGCATTTTTTGTGAATCTCCTTAATGTTTGACTCAGTTAAAGACTGCTGAGCTTTCATTTATGCTATTTATGCCAGAGCCTTGAATTGGATGGAATCAATTTGATAAATTTGATAAATTCTATTTGATAAATTCTTCTGATTGAAGCTTAGTAGTATTAGAAATCATCTGGCCTTTCATAACACCTCTGAAAGGATCTCAAGGGCTTCCAGGGAACCCCAGACCACAGTTTGAGAATGACTGGCAGGAACATACTTCCTATTGTTGGAAAGAGTAGTTTTTTCAGCTTTCCAAGGATTCTGTATGCCACAGGAAAATGTTTCATGTCCACTTAATAGATATGTTTTCTCTTTTTGTGGTTTTTTTGAAATGATAAGCTATATTGATGAAGACTCTCTTTCAGGTATATTTTTGCATCTAATTTATATGAATCTGACTGCATGAATGAAACGGAGTGGACAATTTATCAAGACTGGCATGACTGGATGAATAACCAATTTGGCCAGAACCTTGAATTGGATGGAATCATTTATCTTCGAGCTACTCCAGAAGTAAGACCCAATAAAAATTTGTTTCATTGAAAAAGTTTTTTTAGGAACTTATTTTTTTTTATTTATTTAAAAGGCAGAGTTACAGAGAAAGAAACATTTTTTTTTTTTTTTAAGATTTATTTATTTACTTGAAAGGCAGAGAGTTACAGAGAGGCAGAGCAGGAGAGAGAGAGTCTCATCACTGTCTCTCTGCAATGGCCTGGAAGCTGCTGGCCAGTCAGGAGCCAGGAGCTTCTTCTGAGTCTCCCATGTGGGTGCAAAGGCCCAAGGACCTGGGCCATCTTCCACTGCTTTCCTAGGCCACAGCAGAGAGCTGGATTGGAAGTGGAGCAGCTGGGACTCGGCGCCCATATGGGATACTGCCACTGCAGGTGGCAGCCTTACTCACTACGCCACAGCGCTGGCCCTGAGAAATCTTCCATTCTCTGGTTCACACCTCAATTGCCACAACTGCCAGGTCTGGGCTAGGCTGAAGCTATGAGCCTGGAGCTTCTTCCAGATCTCCCACGTGGGTGCAGGGGCCCAAGCACTTATGCCATCTTCCACTGCTTTCCCAGGCTTATTAGCAGTAAGCTGAATTGGAAATGGAGCAGCTGGACTTCAACTTTACTGCGCCCAGATGGGATGCTAGTGTCACAGGTGGAGGCTTAACTTGCTATGCCACACCACCAGCCCCTTCATTGAAAATTTTAAGTAATATTTAGAAATCCTGGGGCCGGCGCTGTGGTGCACTGGGTTAGTCCTCTGCCTGTGGAGCTGGCATCCCATATGGGCAGTGGTTCTAGTTTTGGTTGCTCTCTTCCAGTCCAGCTCTCTGCTGTGGCCTGGGAAAGCAGTGGAGGATAGCCCAAGTGCTTGGACCCCTGCACCCGCATGGGAGACCAGGAGGAAGCTCTTGGCTCCTGGCTTCAGATAGGCGCAGCTCCGGCCATTGCAGCCACTTGGGGAGTGAACCAACGGAAGAAAGACCTCTCTCTCTGTTGCTCTCTCTCTCTCTCTCTGTCTCTGTGACTCTGCCTGTCAAATAAATAAATAAAAATCTTTTTAAAAAAGTTAGAAATCCTTTCAGTGGCATGTAGCAAAGGCAATTTAATTCCACACACCATCCTCCACACCCTCTAGTTATCTACCTCCAAACATATAACTATAGGTGGAAGTCTTTTGCTTTCTCAGGACACTAGAAGCCCAGACTTGGAAGTCACTCTTTTAGGCTCTTGTCTGTTCTTCCTCACTTAAATTTTATTTTTCATTATTTCTTCCTAATGTTTGCAGGCTCTCTCATTCCATCACAGTAAGGAATTTGTTCAAGCAACTCCTAGAATATAGACTTCATGAGGTGGAGCTTTGGGTGTTTTAATTACTGTTGAATTTCCAGTGCCTAGAACAGGGTCTGTGTTTGTAGTGGGAACTTGGTAAATGTTTGCTAAATGAATGGTGAAGTTAATGGAGGTCCATTTCCAGAATCTTTTATAGTTGTTATGGCTTGGAATGAATGGATAATGACAGTTATGTTCTAGAAGAGACTTAGAGGACCCTTGCCATTTTCGTTTATAAGAATGAGCTCACTGGGGCTGGCGCCGCGGCTCAATAGGCTAATCCTCCACCAAGCGGTGCCAGCACCTCAGGTTCTAGTCCTGGTCAGGGCTCCAGATTCAGTCCCGGTTGCTCCTCTTCCAGGCCAGCTCTCTGCTGTGGCCAGGGAGTGCAGTGGAGGATGGCCCGAGTTCTTGGGCCCTGCACCTGCATGGGAGACCAGGAGAAGCACCTGGCTCTTGGCTTCAGATCAGCGCGGTGCACCGGCTGCAGTGCGCCGGCGGTGTCGGCCATTGGAGGGTGAACCAACGGCAAAGGAAGACCTTTCTCTCTGTCTCTTTCTCTCACTGTCCACTCTGCCTGTCAAAAAAAAAAAAGAAAAAAAATGAGCTCACTGGAAAATGTGCCTTTCATGATAGGTTGTAATAGGTATTATATTTATACATGATATTATGTAATAAATTCAGAAGATCAATTGGTTGCTTTTGATAAAATAGATAAAATAAATAATAAGATTATATTTAGTAAGAAGTCTTCCGGCTTTAATGCTTGCATTCTCATTGTTTCTGATTTTTTTAAAATTTCTTTGTTAAATAATAAAGAAGGAGAGCAGGCATTTTGCCTAGTAATTCAGTCACCTGTTTGGACACCTGCATCCCACAGAGAACCTGGATTCTATAGGGAGGCAGTGATGATGACCCAAGTAATTGAGTTCCTGCCTCCCACATGGGAAACTTGGATTGGTTTCACTGCTGGTATTTTGGGGAGTGAGCTAGCAGATAGAGTCCGGTCTTTCAAAAAAAAAAAAAAAAGAGATAAGGAAAAACAGAGTAACAAGAGAAGTGCTGATAAATAAAATATAAATGCCATAACTTCCAGCCTAAATTAGTTTTGTTTATGATGTCTTTTGGTTAAAAGAATGCTTAATTATTGAAAAGAGAAAGTAGATTTGGAAGCACAGTTTTTATGTTGCCATAATCTTATGCATGTCATTTTTGTTAGCGGAAGAAGCTCCTTACTCCTAGCCTGGATTGGCCTAGCTCCAGCCTTTGTAGCCATTTAGGGAGTGAACCACTGGATGGAAGATATTCTCTCTCTCTCTCTCTCTCTCTCTCTGCCTCTGCCTCCCTGTAACTCTGCCTTTCAAATAAATAGATAAATCTTTGAAAAAAGAAAGGAAGAGAAGTGAAGTGTTTGATCTTGTAGTAAGTAGTCTGTGGTTGGCATAACTGAAGAGCACTAGAAAGCAACATTTTGATTGCAGCAGATAAGAATAATTGTTTTCTTTTTCTCCCCTCTTTTGTTGCTTGCTTTTAGAAATGCTTGAATAGAATATATTTACGTGGAAGAAATGAAGAGCAAGGCATTCCTCTTGAATATTTAGAGAAACTTCATTATAAACATGAAAGCTGGCTCTTGCATAGGACACTGAAGTAAGACCTCCTTATTCTTGGTTACTGTTCATTTTGAATACCTTTATTGCATTTTAATGCTTGGCACCATGTAAAAGTTTCCATTTAGTAATTTTATTTATTGATGTCTCCCAGAAAATTAGGTGTAGATGTGATTATCTTGATTGCAATGAGATCTTGTTTCCTTAAAGTTTTTGTAACTTAACGTACCCCAGTGGTACTCATTGACAGTATAATATATTGAGTTTTTACTTTAAATGATAAAGTAGGAATATATCTGTTTATGTCACTTAAATATTCTTTCAGAAAGAATTTTAAGATACAGTCTTTTCTGCAGACTACAAAAGTTATACCCACAGTGCATAATAAGTGTTGGTTAAGATGAAAAAGCCATTACATTTGTGTATTTGTTTTAGGAATAAACAGTTAATATAGGCTTAGGTTCTACCTGTACGTTTAGGCATCTGTGGGGGTCTTGGAACATTGCTCCTATGTATAAGGAGCGATCATTGTAATATATTTCAGATTTGTTTCTTCGAGCATGGTGTGAGAGAGTATAGCGTGGTTGTTGAGAGTGTAGATTGTCTTTAGTCAGATTGTGACTTAAGTGCAATCTCAATAGTGTGTACAGAATGACCTCTGGACTTCAGTTTTCTTATCCAAAATGCAAAAATTCCTACTTGTTATTTAGTTTGTTTTTGACTAGAATCACGTTAGAATGCTTTGTTTTATATATTTTTTTAACCTATAAATTGAATTCCAATATGTATAGTAAATCTAAATGAGGAAGAAGGAGCTGTCAGATGAATACTTGCAGGGTAACTTTAGTGTAAAATGATTGACAAATATTTTGATTTTCCTAAGATACAAGTTTTTATTGTTTCTATTTTTTATATTTTCTGATTATTTTGTTCATCTCTTTTTAAACAGAACCAACTTTGATTATCTACAGGAGGTACCTATCTTAACATTGGATGTTAATGAAGACTTTAAAGACAAACATGAAAGTCTGGTTGAAAAGGTATAGTTAGACAAAAACTAGATGATTTGTCATCTCTAAAGAAATCTACTAAAGGAAATTTTTTAATAGAAAAGGTTACATAAAGTTGGGTTAAGAAACAGTGAAGAGGTGAAAAGTACTTTAGATTGTTTAGACTGTTCTGACTTTAAATTCCAGCTTGGTGACCTGTGCTAAAATAAGGATCTTCTTTATCCTTTACTTCCTTTCCTTTACTGACCATTCTTTCCACAGCACCAATATTTAGATATCTTAACAGTGAACTGCTTGTGAAGTTGAGTTTATTTTTTTTTATGAGATTCCGTATGGAGGCTATTTAAAGCTGTAAGATATGGATCTCTTTCCGTTCTAAGCTGAAATCTTGAGAATAAAAGATTTATTTTTCGTTTCATTAGATCACAAGGGATGAATTGACATTGCCCGATATTTGTGTCATTGTCTTAATTAGTGTTAATTTATCTCCCCAGATAATGGGGAGTTGATTGTTCTTTTAAGTGAGTTGGTTACACATATTGATAAAGGAACTGGGAGATAATCTATTGATATACACTTAAAAGAATAGTAAGGGGAATTGTGCAATGATTATCCCTGTACTCTGGTTAATTAACTTAGTGATCTATGGTCTAAAGAAGAAGTCACAATTTTTTTCTTTGGTTTTGAGAAAAAGCTGATTTTTTTTCTTTGTCTTGTCATGAAGTGTCTGCTATTTACTGTAATAGGGTGATGACATTCATAGGGGATATATTTCAAGAATTTTGATCTCAAACGTTTTACAAAATACAATAGCAAATGGTTGTTTTTCCCAATATAAACTAAAGCATATTTGAAATTCAAGTGATGTGTTCCTACCATTGATAATGTTACAAATATAGGATAGAAGTCACTTAAGGGGCCAACGTTGTGGTGTAATGGATAGAGCTACTGCCTACAGTGCCGGTATCCCATGTGGGTGCCATTTGGAGTCCCAGCTGCTCTACTTCCAATCCAGCTCCATGCTAATGTGCCTGGGAAAGCAGTAGAAAATGACCCAGGTCCCTTGGGCTCCTGTGTTTATGTGGGAGACCCGAATGAAGCTCCTCCTGGCTTTGGCCTGGCCTAGTCCTGACCATTGTAGCCATTTTTTGGGAGTGAACCAGCAGATGAAAGATCTGTCTCTTCCTCTCTAGTTCTGCCTTTCAAATGATTAAAGTAAATCTTAAAAAAAAGCACTTTTTCAAGTTACCTAACATTTATTTTACTAAGAATTATTTCACTTTATTTATTTTTACTTTTATTGATAGTGCTAGCAATTGGCTTTAAAAAAATTTTTTTTTTTTTTGACAGGCAGAGGGGATAGTGAGAGAGAAAGGTCTTCCTTTTTGCCGTTGGTTCACCCTCCAATGGCCGCGGCTGGTGCGCTATGGCTGGCGCACCGTGCTGATCCGAAGCCAGGAGCCAGGTGCTTCTCCTGGTCTCCCATGGGGTGCAGGGCCCAGGGACTTGCGCCATCCTCCACTGCACTCCCTGGCTATAGCAGAGAGCTGGCCTGGAAGAGGGGCAACGGGGACAGAATTCGGCGCCCTAACCGGGACTAGAACCCGGTGTGCTGGCGCCGCAAGGCGGAGGATTAGCCTAGTAAGCCACAGCGCCAGCCTAAAATTTTTTTTTAAGATTTATTTGAAAGTCAGAGTTACACAGAGAGAGAGAGAGAGAGCGCTGCAGGCCAGGGCATTAACCCACTGCGCCACAGCGCCGGCCCCATCTTTTTAAGATATTTTTACATGGCAATGGTTTTTGACATTATGTAGTTTGGAATATGTAGAGAACAAGAGTCTTGCATTGTGGTATTTCAGTTCGCTAGATTTATTCACTGCTTATATAACTTTCCCCATATACTAACATTTATGCTTCAGAAAAATTACAAATATACTACATGTCTAACTTTCAGTTTTTTAAATTATTATAGTTATTAAAATTATCAGTAATAAAGCTGTGTAATCAGTGGTCCATGGTATTTAAATGAATAGATTATAAAATTAATGTTACAACTGTTTTAGAACTTTTTCTTTTTTTTTTAAGATTTATTTATTTACTTTGAAAGAGTTACACAAAGAGAGAAGGAGAGGCAGGGAGAGAGAGAGGTCTTACATCCACTGGTTCACTCCCCAGCTGGCCGTGCTGCAATGGCCAGAGCTTTGCTGATCCGAAGCCAGGAGCTTCCTCTGGGTCTCCAACGTGGGCGCAGGGGCCTAAGAGCTTGGGCCATCTTCTGCTTTCCCAGGCCTGGACAGGAAGTGGAGCAGCTGGGTCTCGAACCTGCGCCCACATGGGATGCTGGTGCTTCAGGCGGTGGCTTGACCTACTATGCCACAAATCCGGCCCCAGAACTTTTTAAATTCCGATGTAAATTAAATAACTCCTAATCTTTTAGGTCATTCATCTTTTACTACTGAAGTATGTAACAGTATTTGTAGGGAAAGTAAATGATATGACGTTGGTACAGAGTTACTTACTGTTGGGTAGACACTTTTAATTGAATATGATTTTTAGATATGAAGGGTCTTCAGAATGTTCATGAAAGATATATATAATGAAAAATATGCCTGAATTTTAAAATATATTTTGTATCCAAATAAACATCTTTTAATTTCATCTTTTGAAGTGCCTTCATATTTCAAATTAGTCAAGGAATTACATTAATATTTTTTTGTCTTCTCAGGTCAGAGAATTTTTGGGAACCTTGTGATCTTACTGAAGACTACAGGTGACCATATGGTTCCAGATCCTTCAGCTTTGTATGTCTTCATAGCTCCACATTCATGCAAGTCTTTTTAGAAAACCCAAGTTTTTAACCATCTTTGTTCCAAGATAAAAAGATTGTCTTAATGAATTTCATGTAAAACTTTAAGACCTCTTTCTCTAATTTTTTTCCCTTCCTTTTTTTTTTTTGTTTAAAATGACATTTAGTTACCTTTCACAACAGGAAGTCTGGAGGTAGTTGGTTCTAGAATCAGTATAGTGCCTAACTTGTGCCTTATAAAGGCCAAGCCTCCATTCTATCTTTCCCCATAGTCTTCCTCAGAAGATTTTTTTGTTTTTTGTTTTGGTCATGGTGCTTCTCACTTTGCTGGTAACCATTTTCTTAATTGGTAACTTTAATGTCACATAGTAAATGGTGTGTGTCCTATGTAAATTAGCGCACCTATTAAAAGTTGAAAAGTGGAATTTAAGGAATCACAGTAATAAGGATTCTGAAGTTTTATTTTAAATGTTTATCAGATGCCTCTCATTCCACCTTAATTTATGTGGAAAATAAGGTCCAAGTTCAGTATTTAATGACTTCACTGATATTTATTAATATGTCTATAAAAATGTTTGTAGAGCAGGTTTGACTTTGTTCCCAGTTTGGCAATGGGGGTAACCCATCTTAAGTCATTTAGTATTTTCTCTACCTTTGCTTCTCATTTGTAATAAGGATAATCTTTCACTTATCCTTTTATGTGAAATTTTAGAGGACTGAAGAGAAACTCTTTCTTAATAGATAACTGAAAGTTATAGAAAAGTGTAAAGATTCAGTGTACATGGAGCTTAAAATTGCTACCTGTTTTATCTCGGCTCTGACTATTCTTTTTGAATGGAAAATTATTATAGTTGAAAGATTTGTTTAATCTATAATTGTCCTTAAGTCATTTGAGTTGGAAGTGTAGTTTGTTCTAAGTTTCTTACCGAATATGAACTATTAAGGGAACATAGTGTATAGTTTTTCTCTACTGTTTCTTCTTTACTTCATACTTAGAAGTCAGAAAGTAAAGCCATCGTGAACTATCTTATTAGCAGTTTGGTCTGTTTAGTCCCACCTCTTATATCCTGACTCATACTGCTTTTTGTACTGTCTGGATTAATTAGGTAGCCTGCTATTTTAAAGTTTACATACAAATCACACATTTCTACTTTGAGAGCATTGTGGTTCCTCTTCACTTCATAGTTTGTTTTATTTTGTTTTGTTCCTTTCAGAGAAGTTATTGATAAAAGATGTTCTTGCTTTTTGTGTAATATATCATGAAAGTATTATCATTTTTTGTTGAACTAGGAAATAAAGTTTAAAAATACAAGGAAGTTGAAACTTCCATTAATGTCACACTTATTTAATCTTAAAACTACTATGTGAATAGTTACAAAAAGTCTGCTTAGATTCATCTTAGCTCTGTGTATGATTAAAGAAGTTTTTTTTAAGGTATGTAGCATACTTCCATTGTATTTAACCTTTATTTCTATTTCATGTTTTAGAAAAATCGTGTGCTTTTTGGAATGAAGGAAAAAGTCACATTTATTTTGAAACTACCATTTTCTTTCCTCAAATGTCATGTTTTATTTTTTGTTCCTTATTCAATGATGACAATGTTTTGGATTAGCCAGTCTGGATGCACTGATCTTTGAAACAGTGACTTAATTTCAAATCTGTAATTACTATTAGTATTTAAACTGTCTCTTCTGTGTGTTTTTGGTTAATTTTTGTTTGAAATACATGAACTTGTCTACTTATTTACATATTTGTTAATAAATAAGTTTAAATCTAATAAACTACAATGGAGGTAATTCATTGATCTATTTAGAATTAAAATTTTATTATTGAAGAAAATTACAAAAATAAAAGAGGGAAAATGGTTTATATAAATTACATTGATTATGTTTTAAAGGGAGGCTTTAATTCAGTCATTTTCAGTAGCCTTTAAAAATGTTTAATGACTTTTTAATCTGTAGAATTAAATCAGACTAATAAAAATACATTGTTATTTATTTGTGATAACAAAAGCTGTACTGATATGGTGGGAACATGAATTGAGCCAAGTGGTCTGTTTTATTTCTTGGGTATTTTCCTATATTACTTTCCATCAGCATTTATTTATTTTTTAAATTTGCTCTTCTAAAAAGTTACTTGATAGTACAAGACTAATTTTCTTAATCCAGAACTTTTTCTTCTGCTGTGCCTGAAACTTAGAGCCTATATAAAGCCAACAGAAATTAGGTCTGTCATGCTTTACAGAACAGAGTCTCGAAGTGTTTTTAAAGTGGAGCAATAAATGTTACAACCTCCAGAAAGTTGGTAGATAAGTTAAAACATTGAAGTGTTTACAAACCCATGGGCTGCAGTGGTGGTGCATCAGGTTAAGCTGCTGCCTGCAATACCTACATTACATGGGGGCGCAGGTTTGAGTCCTGCATGTAAGAAAGCAGCAGAAGATGGCCCAAGTGCTTTGGCCTCTGCACTCACGTGGGAAACCCCGAAGGAGTTCTTGGCTTCTGGCATCAGCCTGGCCCAACCTTGGCCATTGTGGTCATTTGGAGAGTGAACTAGCAGATGGAGGGTCTCTGTCTCTCTCTATCTGCTTCTCTCTGTAATTTGCCTTTCAAATAAAGAAGTTTGGAAAAAATAAAGTGTTTACAAAATACAGTGTAAATAATAACCTTCATCTGAAAAACATTGCCTTAAATATTTTGAAATAGTTTTAGATTTCCTAAAAGTTGTCCGTCACTTGGCTAGCCCGAGTGATAACAGTTGAGGTACCATAGTATATTACCTAAGCAATATTGTTATTAACTACAGACCTAGTTTGGATTTTACAAGTTTTATCTCATTTTTAATTAATAAATTTAAAAGAATATTTTTATAGTAGTTTCTGGCTCAGCAAAATTGAGTAGAAAGTACAGAGGTAAACCGTCACCCAGAGGCGGTTTCTTTTCTTTCTACTCTGTGTACCTTTTCTTTTTCTGATTACATTAGCTAGGATTTCCATTAATGTTTAAAAAGTTGATGTTGGGGGCAGATGCTTTGGCATAGTGGGCAAAGCCACCGTTTGCAGTGCTGGCATCCTATATGGGCTCTGGCTTGCGTCCCACCTGCTCCACTTCTGATCCATCTCCCTGCTAATGGCTGGGAAAGCAGTGGAAGACGGAGTGCTTAGGCCCTTGCACCCATGTTGGAGACCTGAAAGAAGCTTCTGGCTTCCAAATTCAGATAGGCGCAGCTCTGGCCAATGTGGGCATTTGGGGAGTGAACCAGCAAATGGAAGATTTCTATCTGTATCTGTCTCTCCCTAACTCTGCCTTTCGAATAAGTATACAGATCTTTTTTTTTTTTTTTTTTAAAGTTGATGTTGGTAAACAGTGATATGAGAAGACATCCTTGCCGTATTCCTGATCTTTTTTTTTTTTTCTAGTTTTTTGACAGGATTGCATGATTAGTGTGTAGAGAGAGACAGAGAGAAAGGTCTTCCTTTGCCGTTGGTTCACCCTCCAATGGCCGCCGCTGCAGCCGGCGCACCGCGCTGATCCTGGCAGGAGCCAGGAGCCAGGTGCTTTTCCTGGTCTCCCATGGGGTGCAGGGCCCAAGCACCTGGGCCATCCTCCACTGCACTCCCTGGCCATAGCAGAGAGCTGGCCTGGAAGAGGGGCAACCGGGACAGAATCCGGCGCCCCGACCGGGACTAGAACCCGGTGTGCCGGCGCCGCAAGGTGGAGGATTAGCCTATTGAGCCACGGCGCCGGCCCGTATTCCTGATCTTTTTAAAAATAGTAGTGGTTGCCGACGCCGCGGCTCACTAGGCTAGTCCTCTGCCTTGTGACGCCGGCACACTGGGTTCTGGTCCCGGTCAGGGCGCCGGATTCTGTCCCGGTTGCCCCTCTTCCAGGCCAGCTCTCTGCTATAGCCAGGGAGTGCAGTGGAGGATGGCCCAAGTACTTGGGCCCTGCACCCCATGGGAGACCAGGATAAGTACCTGGCTCCTGGCTTCGGGTCAGCGCGGTGCGCCGGCCACAGGGCGCCGGCCGCGGCGGCCATTGGAGGGTGGACCAACGGCAAAGGAAGACCTTTCTCTCTGTCTCTCTCTCTTACTGTCCACTCTGCCTGTCCAAAAAAAAAAAAAAAAAAAAAAAAATAGTGGTGGCAATTTATTTTTAAGCTTTTAATTAGTTTTTAATACAATCAGTGTTCTTTGTAGATAAAACTCTAAAAACATAATGATATTCCCTTTCTCCTTCCTCTCTCTCCTATACTCCTTCCTTCTCAGTTTCTTTTTCTTTTTAATAAAGCATGCTTGGTACATTTTTTTTTTAAAGGCAGAGTTACAGAGAGAGAGACAGAGATCTTCCATCTGCTGGTTCACTCCCCAAATACCCCAATGGCTAGGATTGGCACAGGCCAAATCTAGGAGCCAGGAGCTGCTTCTGGGTCACTCACATGGTTGTGGAGCAGCCAGGTCTTGAACCAGTGCCCGTATGGGATGCTAACATCACAGGCAGAGGCACAACCTACCACAATGCCAGCCCCCTTTTAGTGTTTGAGATAATATATTTTGAACTCCCATCACAGTAAAAAGGTTTAGTACTTTGCCAAATAAGAAGTTGAACAAGTAAAAAGCAAAAAGACCCTCATTTAGTGGTATTATAGGCAACAGCTGAAAACAGTAATTGAATGGAATAATGACCATTCACTCATATACAGTGTATTTTGAAGTAATCACAGATCATTAAAACTATAGTAGTATAACATTCTTAACCATTGGTTTGCAAAGGTATAAAATAAAGTTTTTGTTTTACAAAATTATTTGCAGCAGTACTGATACATTTCTTCCTTCTTCTGGGTCTCCCATGTGGGTGTCAGGGGCCCAAGGACTTGGTTCATCTTGCACTACTTTCTCAAGCACATTAACAGGGAGCTGGATCACAAGTGAGGCAGCAAGGACTCAAACTGACTCATGGGATTCCAGCTTCGAAGGTGGTGGCTTTACTTGCTTCGCTACAACACCAGCCCCTGAAGCTTCATAAATTAATGGAGGTAGACTGTCAGATTGCATGCTGACATTACAGAAGCAACATTAAGACGTTATGAGCCTCCTGGTGAAAAAATACTTAATATCCATCAAGTATTTTATTTATGCATTTATTTGTTTATGCTCCCCCACCCCGCTTTTTGTTTTTAAAAGAGACGAAGATCTTCCATCTGCTGATTCGTTCCCCAGATGCCCACAACAACTGGGGTTGGGCTAGACTGAGTCCAGGGGTCCTAAACCCAATCTACATCTCCCAGGTGATTGGCAGAGATCCAAGTATTTGAACCATGGTCCACTGACTCACATAGTACACATTAGTCGGAAGCTGAATCAAAGTAGAAGAGCCAGAACTCAAAGCAGGCATTCTGATATGAAAGTGGCATCTTAACTACTGGCAAATACCCTGAATTTTCCTGCCTCCAAAATTTGGACCTTTATCAGTTTGAGCCTTTAGCTCTAAATTTTAATTCAGGGGAGGTGCAGTGGCACATGAAAAATGCGAAGTGATACCACAGAGATGAGATAAGGCACATCCGGACTCTGGGAACTACAAGACAAATTTCCTAGTTGGATAAGCTGCAAAGAAAAAATAAAAAAGAGACTATCAGATTAAAAGACTTGGGGATTATACACAGAAGAATGTATGTTCTGTTGTTGTATGTAGTCTAAAGACTGAGTTAATTCTGTCTGGTTATTTGATAGTGTTGTTGAGTTTGACAGTGTCCTTAATGATTTTCTGCTTGCTGGATCTGTCCAGTGTTGATAGAGGGCTTTAAAAAATCTTCAGTTAACAGTGTATCCAACGTAGACTTGGCATCTTGTTTTTGATCCTGACAGTTTCTTTTAATTGATGTATTTAGATGTGTTTAGAAGGATTTTAAAAATATATTTGGGTTATTATCTACCATATTCTTTAAAAATAGGTCTAAGATAAGACAATGTGAAAAGGACAGTCTTCGATAAAGTTCACTGGGAGAATGGCGTAGCCACATACAGGGAATGTAACTGGCCCTTCATGTTAACGTATACAAAAGGGCCGGTGCCGCAGCTCAATAGGCTAATCCTCTGCCTGCAGCGCCGGCACACTGAGTTCTAATCCCGGTCAAGGTGCTGGATTCTGTTCTGGTTGCCCCTCTTCCAGGCCAGCTCTCTGTTGTGGCCAGGGAGTGCAGTGGAGGATGGCCCAAGTGCTTGGGCCCTGCACCCCATGGGAGACCAGGAGAAGCACCTGGCTCCTGCCTTCGGATCAGCGTGGTGCGCCAGCCGCGGCGGCCATTGGAGGGTGAAGCAATGGAAAAGGAAGACCTTTCTCTCTCTCTCTCACTCTCACTCTCTCTCACTGTCCACTCTGCCTGTCAGGAAAAAAAAAAGTATACAAGAGATCAACTCAAAATGGATTAAAATCTAATGTTAGACCTGAAACTAAAGCTACTAGAAGAAAATGGAGGCAGAAAAACTCAGGGTGGGCATTTGCCAGTGGTTAAGAGACTACTTTGGGGGCCATTGCTGTGGTGCAGCGGGTTAACACCCTGGCCTTAAGCGCCAGCATCCCATATGGGTGCCGGCTGAGACCTGGCTGCTCCACTTCCGATCCAGCTCTCTGCTATGCCCTGGGAAAGCAGTGGAAGATGGCCCAAGTCCCTGGGCCCCTGCACCAACGTGGGAGACCTGGAAGAAGCTCCTGGCTCCTGGCTTCAGATCAGCTCAGCTCAGGCCATTGTGGTCAATTGGGGAGTGAACCAGTGGATGGAAGACTCTTTCTGTGCCTCTCCTTCTTTCTGTAACTCTGACTTTCAAATTAAATAAATAAATAAAGACTATTTTGGACACTTTCCTATCAGAATGCCTGGTTTGAGTTCTGGCTCCTCTACTTTGATTTAGCCTCTGGCTAATGTGCACTATGAACCAGTGGACCATGGTTCAAATACTTGGGTCTCTGCCATTCACATGGGAGATGTGGATTGGGTTTAGGACCCCTGGACTTAGCCTGGCCCAGCCCCAGTTGTTGTGGCCATCTGGGGAATGAATCAGTAGGTGGAAGATCTTCTCTTTTAAAAACAAAAAGGGGGAGGGGGGCAGGATAAAAAAAATGCATAAATGAAATAAATGCATAAATAAAAAGAATATGGCCTGGGCAATGATTTTTTTTTCATTTGATCCCAAAAATGGGCAACAGAAGAAAAATGTGAGGCTGTGGTGTAGTGGGTAAAGCCACTGCCTGCAATGCTGGCATCCCACATGGGTGCCAGTTCAAGTCCCAGCTGCTCCTCTTCTGATCCAGCTTCTTGCTAATGTGCCAGAGAAAGCAGCAGAAGATGGCCCAAGTCCTTATGCTCCTGCGAGACCCGGAAAAGCTCCAGGCTCCTGGCTTTGGATTGGCTCAGCTCCTGCCATTGCAGCCATTTGGGGAGCAAACCAGTGGATGGAAGATCTCTGTCTGCCTTTGCCTCTGCCCTTCTGTAACTGTCTTTCAAATATGTAAATAAAAAAATTTTTTTAAATGTGATATGTTACATCAAGCCAAAGTTTTTGCATGGCAAAAGAAGGCAACAGTGAAGAGACAACCTGTGGATTGGGAGAAAATTTTTGTAATCAATGTGTCTGATACAGGATTAACATCTAAAATATAAGGAATATAACTATACAAGGAGAACATATTTAAATTAAACAATGGGCAGAGGACCTGAATAGATGTTCTGAAGAAGACCTACAAATTGCCAACATAGATGAGAAAATGTCCAATATCATTAATCATAATGGAAGTACAAAGTAAAGTCACAGTTGTCAGAATGACTAATATCAAAGAGGAAAGAGGCCGGCGCCGCAGCTCACTAGGCTAATCCTCCGCCTAGCGGCGCCGGCCTACCAGGTTCTAGTCCCGGTTGCCCCTCTTCCAGGCCAGCTCTCTGCTGTGGCCAGGGAGTGCAGTGGAGGATGGCCCAGGTGCTTGGGCCCTGTACCCCATGGGAGACCAGGAAAAGCACCTGGCTCCTGGCTCCTGCCATCGGATCAGCGCGGTGCGCCGGCCGCAGCGCGCCGGCCGCGGCGGTCATTGGAGGGTGAACCAACGGCAAAGGAAGACCTTTGTCTCTCTCTCTCACTGTCCACTCTGCCTGTCAAAAAATAAATAAAAATAAAAAAAATTAAAAATAAACAGAGGAAAGAACATGGCAAGGATGTGGAGAAAAGTTAGCCCTTGTACACTGTTAGTGGACATGTCAGTTGTAGCTATTACGGAAAACAATGTGGACATTCCTCATACAACTTACCATGTGATCCATCAAACCAGAAAATATGAAATTAGTATGTTGAAGAGATAATGGCACTTTTATGTTAATTGCAGCATAGCCAATATATTGACTTAGCACAAATGTCCA